GTGCCCCACCTAAAGAGTGGTGTTTGTACAGCCATTGGCTATGATTGAGTTTGGGGTGACCAAACTAGAAATAATAGTCAATGCTATTCCCCCACTTCGATCCGACCGAGAAGGATCATCTCTACTCAGGGCACTCGACTCGCCAAAAGCTTTTCTTTATTCCTTTTTACTTTATTGGCTCTGTAAACCCGTCCCTATCCTTTGCATAGTCTACCGTTTTCCTAATATTCTCGTCCAAAAAACTCCCGTTCCATCCTCTGCATACTCTGCATCTCATTCTCGTACTTTGTTGTATATGATGAGCGTTGGATAAGAAATGACTACATGTGATGATGAAATGTTGAACACTAATAACATTTCCGTTGGTCAGGCGGGCATCGCCCACGAAGACTGAACCAAGGAGAATGCTTCATTCTTAAAAAATAACTAATCATCGAACAGTAGCAGCGACCAATAGGAAACATAGTGTGGCCACCATATAAGAATCTTTCCCGCGACTGCGCCATATTGTTTAGCGCTCGATACTCATCGTGCTTCATTTTTTGCCATGAACGCTATTCATTCCTTAGTTTGTGTGCATGTACCATCCGTTTTGCAGTCAGTGCCAATCCCTAAGACGTTTCGAGGCTTGGCGTCTTTGTCATGTAAGATCGTCACTAATTTTATTTTGATTGTCTAGTCAAAGAATTAATTCAACTTTCTGTCTTTACCACTTTTTCAGCGGCTGTTGCGTATTCTGTCTACTACACGGCCAGATCTTTGTGCTCGGCAAGTTCTGGCCACATAAATCGCTGTTACAAAAAAGAACAGGCGAAATGCGTCGACATCATTGATATTGAGACGATTGATCAAAAAAAGTGTTATTGTCGTTGCTGGTTATCGTCAAAGGTAAGCAATTGACTTATATTGCTTTATTTATAGTTTCCCTACTGCGACGGAGCTCACAACAAACATAATAAAGAAACGGGTGATAATGTTGGCCCACTAATTATCCACCCGAAGAAAACCCTATAATTTCCATGCATTTATGATCATGAAAATGGACTTTGGCTATGCTATAGTGTCTCTTCGTGCTGTCATAGAAATGACTTGATGATTGACGTTGCTGCGAATGAATTTTTCCTGCTGACTCGGGTTCCCTGGGACTATGCCCACTAACTGCCCAAGCCACCTTTGTAAGTT